GGGTGGTTGGGGCCCACCCTCGGGACTCTAAGAATCAATCAATGGCTGGAGACAGACAATAGGTGACATACATGGCTCAAAATCGTTGTCAATGGCTTACGCAGATGTATTCAGTCTCTTGTGTAATTTTTCATATTCCCTTCTACCATTACTCATTGTGTTTCACTCTTATACTTGTCAAAACTCTATTGATTGATTCTCTTCACTCAACCATCTTCTTGTCCACCTTTGTGTGCTATTTGGAACGTGGCAATTCGAACTGTTGCACTTCGGTGCCAGGTTCTATGTTGAATCCAGACAGACTGACTCACTGCACCTGTTCTACTACTTTGACCTATGTATTTGACCTGACAATCATCGCAGACAGGGTATTAGATAAACTAAATTGTTTTGTTTTAGAGGCTCCATAGGATTGATCCTTTAACCGTCAAAGCTTGTTTTTAATTGAGTTTGTGGTCGGTTTGAATGCCAGCCACTTTTATTCCTGTCTGCCTTGTTAAGAATTCTGCGTAAGGTGCTTTCCGAGGTACCTTCCTTGTATGGAATTACTACTGATGACTTAGATTCCTTATTGTTGGTGTTGTCTTGCACATATTTGACATGCATGTCGTCATTAATATTATTATTATTATCACTATCACTACTATTATTATTTATTTTATTTTTACATATCCCTACATGCTTTCTGACTAATTTATCAGGGTAATTATTAAGTTTCAAGGCTTCTCTTATATATCTCACTTCCTGTCTTAGATTTTCCTTGGTACTACTTAGTTTTTGTGCTCTGTCACTTAAACATTTCACCAATCCTTTTTTTACTGACATAGATTGGGTGGGATGATCGGAAGTCCAAGTATTTGTTTGAATGTGTGGGTTTCCTGTAAACACACACACACACTAGCGTGTTTAACCTCCCATCTTCTTTCCTTTTTACACTGCCATATTACATTGGTAGTTCCCCTTCCTGACTTTCCAATTCATCATAAGTGAATTGAATCGCCTCCACCTATAGAGTTAATGTGTCCCAGATATCTGGAAAATTCTACTAATCCTGCGACGAAAAATATAGGAGAGAGGACAAAGAAAACTATAAAACTTAAGTTTCAAAGTTGCATGATTATAATTGGTGATAGGGTTATGAACAATAGATTTTGCTCATAACGTCATCCAGTAAATACTAATACTGTTTCACTCACTGATTGTGTGATACATCTAATAAACACACTTATATGGAATTACTTACTACCACCACCACAGTGGCCGAGTTTTACACGTATTCCCAAACATTGCATAACGTGCTAGTTAACCCACACAACTCTGTCTGTCTGGATTCAACATAGAACTTGGCACTGAAGTGCAACAGCTGGAGTTACCACGTTCCAAATAGAACACAAAAGTAGACAAGAAGATAGATGAGTGAAGAGAATCAATCAATAGAGTTTTGACAAGTATAAGAGTGAAACACAATGAGTAATGGTAGAAGGGAATATGAAAAATTACACAAGAGACTGAATACATCTGCGTAAGCCATTGACAACGATTGTGAGCCATGTCACCTATTGTCTGTCTCCAGCCATTGATTCTTAGAGTCCCGAGGGTGGGCCCCAACCACCCGGAAGTCTGCATCTCCCTACCTGACTGACTCAGTTTAACTGCCAAGCATTTCACGGATTGATTGATGCCATGTTTTTGTTTGGCATGGTACCACTTACTCTTTTCCAACCTGCACCTATATCAGCTAGTAATGCCCGTCGGGTCGGGTGGGGAGGCGATGGTTAGGCATGCGCAGCACGTGACCTAGCCATGTCAATCTATGTAACTTTATAGGCTCGTCGATTGATTGATTTTCCCTCTTTGCCCAACACTCTACGCCTAACCTAACGTCAACATTACTTACCTTATTATGTCACCTAACGTGAGAAAGAGATCGTAGACATCTATGATCAAAAACAGACAACCTTTTCATGTCTTCAACTCGTATTGGCCATGTTTCAGAGCCATAGAGAAGGACGGAACGAACTGTTGAGCAGTAAACACGTCCCTTGGTTGACAGCCGGATGTCACGCCTACGCCAGAGACGGTGTGGTGTAAGTTAGCGAAAGCAGTCCGAGCTTTTTAGATCCGTGCTGAGATTTCGTCACCAGTCAATTGTCTGTTGGTGCTGATACAACTTCACAAATAGGTGAAGTGGTCAACATGTTCTATCACTTCACTCCCTATCACTAAGCTAGGAGTTGATGTAGTTCAGTCCTGTAGCAGCATCTTACATTTTACAGGGGCGAATCGCATGCCAAACATACGAAGATTGCTGCTCAAGGTGTTCAGAAGACTCTGCATTTTGTCAGCATCCTCCCCTAACAGGACTATGTCATCTGCATATTCTAAGTCCGTAAGACTATTCCCTGGTAACAAGTCGATTCCTAAGTCGTTAAGTTCAGTTAAGGATACTTCCATTAGCATATCTATGATGAAGTTAAACAGAAAAGGGGAAAGTGGATATTCTTGACGGACACCATTGGATGTTATCAATTCAGATGACAGTTCCCCATAAGCCCTTGTATGGTTACGTGAGTTTGAGTAGAGTGCCTTGATTAGCGCAATGTACTTTCTTGGCACTCCCTTCACAGTCAAACATTGCCATAGTACCTCTCGATCCACGGAGTCGAAGGCCGCCTTCAGGTCAAGAAATATGGCAATTGTTGGACGCCTAAAATTGTGTCTATGTTCTAGGATCTGTCGGAGAGTGAAGATATGATCTATGCACCCTCTAACTGGCCTAAAGCCCGCTTGGTTCCCCCCCCCCCACACACACACACAACAGTGTATATAATAGTAAAATTTAACGAAGAGAACTTTGCGATGATCAACCCTTTAGCCAACTGCAACAACACCTACATTACCATTATTGTGATTAATAGAAAATGAAAATAATGTTCTAATGGGACAAGTAGAAGAAAAAACTTAGCGATATTGTATTTGGCTCGCGTTGCATGTGAGTGATCGATAGTATCAAACGTGAAATCTACGAATTACTATGTCTGTTATTAGCAAAACACTTAGCTCTTTTATTCTCTCTCTCTCTCTCTACCTCATCTGTTATCTATGATAACACACTATTTCAATGAAAATCACTGCAAAAACACCAAAAAGCTGCTATTATCAAACATGGTTACGTACACCCTGTAATATTAATTTCGTATTAGTGTTTGCTGTTGTCGAGTCTCCATTGCGTTCGGTTCTCTGCTAAAGTTTTCACCTGGCTCCAAGTCTGCCCACATGCTTCTCCTCATCTCCTCTTCACATGACCTCCCTCCAAGTACCCTCACCCTTGCACTGACGACCAACTCGCCGCTTCCCGTTCGAGTTCCACTCGAGCTATGGCTTGTCTAGTGATGTCACTCACTTGATGGTTTGTTTTCTCAGAGCATGGCCAGCCAATCCATCTACATTTCTTCCTGCTTATTTGTTGCAAAATCGGTTCCTGCTGTGGGTTGGTTGCTCATTGCCAGAGATCCCTGTTGCTGATCTTTTCTGGCTGACGATCTGATCTTAAGTGGTATTGAGCGAAGACAACTGTTGATGAAGGTCTGTATTTTGTTTGAGATGCTCTTTATGACGCGCTGGCCAAGTCTCTGATCCGTATAGCAAGTAGCACTGACTGACTTCACATTGGAGTTGAAAATCCGGATCTTATTTTTCATGCTGAGTGCTTTTGACCTCCACACAGACTTGAGAGTAATGAAAGCTTGTCTTGCTTTTCCGATTCTCGCTTTGATATCCTTGTTAGTTCCGTCCCTCTATAGTTGAAACGATGCTTTCCAGGTAGGTAGGTGGGGAGGTGAAGGAGGTTGCGTCTTTCAGGTTCCTCCTATTTATGCTGATTGTTGTCTGTTGCAGTTGGTGTTGCTGCTTTTGGCCAGGAATCTTCATCACCTACCTCTGTTTTGTCTTTGTTTACCTGAGGTCCTATCTTTGATTCTTCTTCTGCCAGCTTGTTACTTTTCACTTGCATATCTTCCAAGTTCCTCGTGAGGGTCCATTTTATGCCTGCTTCCTCGCTGCCCACTGTCCCCTGCATTATCCAATCTACCACAATCAGGAAAATCATTGTTGATAGTAGACAGCCTTGTTTTACATAATTCTTATTATAATCACTATTAAAATTATCATTATTAGTACTATTACCATTATTATTATTATTATTGCAATTATTATTATTTTTACGTGTTGATCACGGATTGATATCAGTTAGAGAACCATTGAAAACCAGCCACAGGGAGTACTGGACAGCCAGCTGTTTTATCAGCCTAGTTTGGGAATCATCGGCAGTACGCATCCACTACAGAAGGTTCGAACCCAGAAGCTTCCGGTTACAAGGTTACTCCCTGGTTTTCAATGGTTCTCTTACTGATATATCAATCCGTGATCAACTCGTAACAAAACATAACTAACGCTTACAAACCAAACTATAGAAAAAATTAATCTGATGCTCGCTAGTGACTTGCTACAAGATGGAGTTTCCTGCAGTGAGTTCTAGTGAGAAGTCGTGACCAGTGAGGTCCATCCAGATGTCACGTGTGAGGATGGATGTCCCACTGACGAAATTGGTTGGGGTCGCGCTAAATCACCAATTGGTAGAAGTTAGAATTCATGCACTGGCCATTGAATCGGGTCGGGTCCCAGTGGCTGAATGGTATACGAGCCAGCTAGCTTGCTGGCCTTGTAACCGGAAGATCCTGGGTTCGAACCTCATATGGTGGGTGCGTACTACCGCTGATTACCAAACTAAGATGAAACAGCAGCTTTCCAGTACTCCCTGTGGCTGGTTTTCAATGGTTCTCTAACTGATATCAATCCGTGATCAACTCGTAAAAACAAATCTAACCCTTACAAACCAAACTAGAGAAAATTATTGTTACTACTGTTATTATTACTGTTATTATTATTACTATAATTATTAGGGTTATTTTAGTGCTAACAATAATGTATGAAACACCCACCTGCGTTAGAAAGGAAGCTGAAGATCCTAACAAGGTTCGATGTGATCCAGGCCAGCGACGTTTACCATAAGCCTTTCCAACTAATGCAGCAAAACTATCACCTATAGCTATGGACAATATACCTGTCCATGACGTCGGTTTTACACGCATTTCATAGCATAGATGACCTGGAGAAGATATGTGAAAAAAAAAACGAAAAAAAAATTAGGCGTACAATGATAATGCAAACTGTGAATTTGATAAGTTGAGTTGTGTAGAGCAATTTAAAAAAAAAGAATGGTCAAGCTGAGTGTTGAATGAGCAGCGTTAAAATTGAAAGAGCAAAGAGTATATATTCTACACAAAGTTTAAAAATGATATTGTGATGAGAGCTGTCTGTTAGCGAAAATTGGTAGACAGTAATTTACGTCAATGTTGTTTATGTCCCAAATATTGGTCATGAGAAAACAAGAACAAAGACTGACTGACTGACTCAACCAACAACCAATCACAGAACACTTTGTTTGCGTAGGCGGATACAATTAGCAGATAGATAGATTATCTGACCTTGAAGAAACAGCCACCAATCAGAAGACTGTGTTTATCTGCTAACAATAATCAATAGTGATAATGTACATGAAAATCTATAAATACATGTTGATTTCCTTGATAAACGATCTGTTTGGCTGGCCCTTGTCTTCTGTTGTTACATATCCTCCTGAATGAATGACTGGTTTCCACGTAGAACTTTGCACTGATGTGCAACAGTTCCAGTTGCACACAAAGGCAGATATGAAAGTAGAGAAAGATTCAAAAGAGAGATCATACACAGAAATATGAGGCAAAAAGAATAGTAATATGGAGGAACAATAATATAGTCTTATTGGATCGAACAAAATCACAAAAAAACAGTGGATGCATCTGCGCCGGCCACTGAGAACGATTTTGAGCCGTATGACCAATTGTTTCCAGCCTTCATTGGTTTTTACCGTCCTCCCGAGGGACCTGATCAGGAATTCTACACTCCCTTCCTGGCTGACTGGTTGGCTGGCTTAGACTAACTATTTTGAATTTCATTGACTGATGAAGCCGTGTTTCAGTCTGACCACCACTGGCTAGCTCTTTTCCAACCTGATCCATCTTATGTCATCTAATATATTGTTGGTCGAGGAAGGCGATGACTAGGAATACATGCGTGACACATGTCTTAAATGTCTCCAATCAGTGTAACTTCATAGCCACATCCATTAATTTCCCCCCCCCCCGCTACCTTACCTAGCAGCAATCAATGCTTAACACCCCAAGATCCTACACTCCGGGGAGAGCATACTGGTGTGATGTAGTGTACGCTTGTTGTGTGTTGGGCATTTTTGTTTTGTTTTTCTTCAATTGTAGCCTAGTCCCGGTTGGCCCAGGTTCCCGCGGTGGCAGTTCACTTCAAGGTTATCGGCATGATGGAAAAAAAGGGATGGACGCTATTTTGCCGGGAAGTGTCGTTGATTGTGAACATTGAACGTTTGTATAAATTGGCCTTGGTCGCCACTGGCGGGCAACTCGAAGGTGCGAGTGATTCGATCGTGTACAAGTTGGAAGAAGACGAAGGAATACGAATAAAAGTACAATACATTCCCTGATAAAACATTTGTTTATAGACTTTGTACAGAGTATTGAATTTAACTGACGAACAATACAAATTCTTCTTGTTCCTTGTGTTTTGGAATTAAGGTCATTAAGGTCGTTCATAGCAATTGTCAGTTCGAGCGTCTTCGGAGATAATAGGTACTTAGGGTTAAAGTTTCTTGGCAGGCACCGTTAACGTGTGCATGTTTCAAAGCTAACAGATCACGCTATCTATGAAGACAGGTAAAAGTAGCATTTAAATATGATAGAGAAGATTTGTAGGTCAGGTGGATGATTTTGATGTGGTGTTGTGTTCTCTGACCCAGCTGGATAGTTAATTTGCGAAGTTTTCAAGAGGGCCAGCCAGGACTCATTGCAGCACTACCGTCTTAAGGAAAATTGAAGAAAGATATCTCATAGACGTCTTCCGAAAAATGGATGGATATCCACGGAATTTCTTCGAAAGACATATATCCCCAAGCCAACCTATCAAACCAAAAGCCCCAAAGGAAAGCACAAAGAAAATCGCCCTACCATATAAAAGATATCTCAGAAATCCCTGCAAGACTCTTCAAACCAACCAAATCACTTCACTCAGCCAGTCCTGTATCAACTAAAAGACTTAACCACGAAAGAAGATAAAACCAACATCTGCATCTACAAAATAAACTGCATCAACAGCGAAAAACACTACATTGGCCAAAATGGACAACATCCCTGCTCTTCGTCTTCGTATCCACGAACATAAGCTATCCATCAAAAGACATGACATCTACTCCCTCACTCATATCACCTCACTACATACAGACAACCACGGATATTAATTCGACTGGGACAACCAACGTTCAAATATTAGACAGAGGAAACAACACCAAGAATGCTAGCCAGAGAATTTTTAGAAGCCTACCTGGTATTCCAGTGAATCATCAATCAATAGATAGACACATCAAGATAGACAAAGTTTACCGGCCGATAAGAAAGAAACCTCACACACACACACACACACAAAGGGTCAAGGTTCAAATCAAAGAAACAATCAGTTCCAGTACAAGTAGACTAGAAGGCGTGAAAACACACAAAAACAACCAATCACGTTCAAAGTGGTCACTGACCAGGAGCGATGATTAATGGTGAACTCTTGGAGGAGAAATCTAAAGGCTCACTTCAATTGAAATTGAAGTGTATGCGCTGAAGGAAGATGTCGCCTGCCTAGTAGTAGGGCGATGATCAAAGCTTCGCAAATTAACTATCCAGTTAGCTCAGAGAGATAACACAACCACATCAAAAGTAGAATTTAAAATTGTTAAAAACAACTACTTCGCTACTACGGAGTGTCACCGACAATTATACATCTCATCCAACACTTAGTTGTACGACAATGCTGCATGCAAAGTAATCCACTATGGGAAACTTACGGAGTCCTTCGAAGTGAGGACAGGAGTAAGACAAGCCGGTTGCCTACTATCGCCAATGATTTTCCTGATTGCAGTAGACTGGATAATGCGACAGACAGCGGGCCAGGCAATGAGGAAACAGGCATAAAATGGACTCACACGAAGAAAGAACTTGGAGGATCTGGACTTTGCCGATGATATATGTCTGATATCCCACAAACTGGAAGGCATGCAAGCGAAAAGCAACAAGTTGGCAGAAGAAGCATCCAGAGAAGATGGGACTTACTTCAGGTGAACATATAGAAAACAGAGGTAGGTGATGAAGATTCCCGGACAAGAACAACAACAAAAGACAACGCATCAAGGTCAGCATAAATGGGAGGAACCTGAAAGAAACAACCTCCTTTAACTACCCACTACCTAACTGGGAAGCATCGTTTCAACTATAGAGGGACGGAACTAACAAGGATATCAAAGCAGCGAGGATCGAGAAAGCAAGACAAGCTTTCATTACACTCAAGTCTGTGTGGAGGTCAAAAGCACTCAGCATGAAAAATAAGATCCGGATTTTCAACTCCAATGTGAAGTCAGTCAGTTCTGCTACACGGATCAGAGACTTGGCCAGAGCGTCATAAAGAGCATCTCAAACAAAATACAGACCTTCATCAACAGTTGTCTTCCCTCAATACTCAAGATCAGATGGTCAGAAAAGATCAGCAACAGGGATCTCTGGCAATGAGCGAACCGACCAGGATCCGATTATGCAACAAATAAGCAGGAAGAAATGGAGATGGATTGGCTGGCCATCCTCCGAGAAAACAAACCATCAAGTGAGTGACACCACTAGACAAGCCATTGCTCGAGTGGAACCCGATCGAAAGGGAAGCGGCGAGTTGGTCGTCAGTGCAAGGGTGAGGGTGACTTGGAGTGGAGGAGGTCATGTGAAGAGGAGATGAGGAGAAGCATGTGGGCAGACTTGGGGCCAGGTGAAAACTTTAACAGAGAACCGAACGCAATGGAGACGCACGGCCGAAGAAGCCCTATGTTCCTCTAGGAATTAAAGGAAACAATAATAATAATAAAGAACAATTGGAGATCAATTACCTAAGCTAAAGACTTACTCCACCATATAGTGGTGGTACGAGACCGGTTTTTTAAAACAAATACTTCCAAATAATACAAATTGAAATGTGTAAAAAAATTTGCTCAACATTTTATCCCGGGTTAACTTATCAAAATAGGTGGATTTTCTGATATTAGATGGTTAGAGGCAATCGGCCACACGAAGCCTTGCACTGACCTAGGTTTCGTGCTAGTTGGCACTCATCAACAAGGCGTATCTGCAACCACATTGAAGTAACAGTTCATGTCCCTTTTGAGATTCGAACCCTCGTCACCCAGTGCCGCCTGCAGTCAGCCAGAGACGTTACCAATGAGCTATTCGGGCTGGCTCGCGATTGACCTCCTGTAGGACTGTATTGGTTACTTTGATTGGACACTAGTAACTAGTGTGATGTGTCTGGCTAGTCCTTTCTTTGGAGCAGACTGAATTCCATAGAATTCAGCAGGACTGGGTGACGCGGGTTAGAATCTCCCTCAGAAGGGACATGAGCTGTTCCTACAATGTGGTTGCAGATACGCTTTGCTGGCTGACTGATGAGTGCCAACTAGCAGCACGAAACCTAGCTCAAGGAAGGCTTCGTGTGGCCGATTGCCTCCACCTATCTAATATCATCAAATCAATGTGTGCACCATGATGGTGAGCTACCCACCTAGTAGTGGCATGGTGGCCACATTGCAAACCTGACTGACTGATAGAATTCAGTCTGCATCAAAGAAAGGACTAGACGCATAACACCAGTTACTAGTGTCCAATCAAAGGTGGATTTTCTATTCACAAGTACAGAATACATAGTAGATTTTGATGCGTAAACACCAATGTAACTTCCAAAGAGGAATCTATCTCAATTAATAGTAGGCGAATTACTAATTTACTACTCTACCGAATTCACAGATGAAATTATCCAGTAACTCGTGCAATTCGGTGTTACACTTGAGCATTTTGAATTGTTCAACCTCCAGTTGAATTGGTTTTCAGCATTTATAAATTATTAATGCCTATGACGTCCTTAGAAGGAATCACCAACAAGAAACTATGAGAACAAACAAAACAAGAACTAATCGCTCAACAAATATGCAGGAGAAAGTGGAGATGGATTGGACACTCGCTGAGGAGGCCGCTGGGTGACATCGCGCGTCAAGCCAATGCTCGAGTGGAACCCGAAAGGGAAGCGGCGAGTAGTGGGACGTCCAAGGGTGACTGACATGGAGGAGATCGTGTGAAGAAGAGTTGAAACAGTATGGACTAACATGGATGCAAGTGAAAAGTACAGCAGAAGACAGAAACAAGTGGAGACGTGCAGTTGAAGCCCTATGTTCCACTAGGAACCCAAGGGAACAATAAAATAAAATAAAAATGACGTCCTTAGATATTCTGAATCCGTTTATGAAAGAGCTGCTTCTCTTGAAATGCACAAAGCACAATATGCACTTTTTATTTAATAAGGAACTATATAGACAAATTGACGGTGTGGTAATTGGGTCACCACTGGGACCACCATTCTAGCCGACATTTTGCTTATGAAACTAGAAAATAATGGGCCTTTGAAGGATATTATTAATGAACTTGAATTCTATTGTCGGCACATACATGGATGATGCATTTTTGATTATGAAAAATGGGGAGGAAGAAGCAAAGTACCATCCTGGATAAATTTAACCAGGTTCATCCTGCAATAAATTTTACCATCGAGAAAGAAAAAGACTCTAGTTATTTCATTTCTAGACATCCTTATGACCAGAAAAGAGGACAGCACAATAACAAGAAGAAGTGTATATAGAAAACCAACATCAACTGACTGTCAGTATACTCATTTTTTCAGCTTCGTGCCCTTGAAATACAAACGCAATCTGATAAAGTGCTTGGCCCACCACAGAGCAAGAGCAATCTGATCGGATGAATGTCTTGATGAGGAACTTAATAATATTAAACGGTTGATGAGTGAAAATGGTTATACAAAAACGTTTATTGATAAGAATATGAATGTAAAATCAAAGTAGCCCAAGGTACACCAACAGTTCCAAGGTAAGGGAAGGCCTGATTCTTACAAATGCAGTCAGTTCCTTGGGGACAACATCAGCGGGATCCTAACACAGCTGTGCCTTAGAAATGAGGCGGTAAAAAGAGCATTCCGTGCTGCTGCCGAATTACGCTGTGTCTTCAAAATCACTCGTGTTTTGCGTTTGTTCGGGAGTAAAAGACAAACTGCCTAATTTCGCCTCTTCCATGTGTGTGTATCTAACAATTTAACTGCTCCTGTCGAGTGAGCTACTTACTTATATACGCCGTACAATTAGGCGTGTTTCTCGTCGAATTTCCGAACATAACCCACCCTGAACAGTTGTTGGTTGGTTAAGTAAAGGACAAACAAAATCTATTCTCACCGCTATTCTATTCTATCTCACTCATCTTCTTGTGGATACACAACAGAAGACTGATTCATGTTACCAAGGCGGCGGCTTTCAGGGTCATTTACCACATAACAACTAACAAATCTCAATTTCGCCTTAACAGTTCGACTACTAAATACATTGCTGAGGCTGGTTGGCTGGCTGTTGGGATCCAGATTAACAAGCCTAATTTGTGCATCCAAAAGAAGTTGGTTGGTTCAGACATTATCCTTACCCGCTTGACCATCTAGGTTTGAATGATCGATACTGAATTTTTGTGGAATTTTCCTAATTTTAGTTGATATTCTATTTACTACTATATCTTTATTATTATTATTATTATAATTTAAGCATCTTTAATGAACTGTGGTGATTCCATTGTGATCTTACTTTACAAATCGATATTATTTAAAAAGCACACTAATATTGTTATTGACTACTAATCTAGAATATTCTATGTATATAAACATGCATATATAGATATAATTGTAGAGCGAGAAGAGGAGGAGGAATTTATCGAAAAGGATATTCTTTGCTGTCTCAATTATATTTTGGCACTAATTTGCACACAGCCAGAAAAAAAAAGGGGATTACACAGTTACGTCATTTCTATAAACGAGATAGCCAACTGATTCGCATGCATAGATTTATCAAACCTTATCAAAACGCCACACTTACCAATACTGACCGTCATATCCGTATTCTTCAAATTTTCCGGCCACCAAATAGGAATGCTTAGGCCGAGTAGAAGAGCAATAGGCGTGAAGAGAATTTCACCGGAATCTCGCTCATCCCGAAATGGATCAACTAAGGCACTGAGGTAAGATGAAAGGCTATAAGGCTAAAAAAGAAAGAAAGCGGAAGAAAGAAAAACAATTAAGAGTTGTGCCATTTGTCGTTAGATTGCCATTAGATATTGCGGTGAGAGCTGGCTGCTAGCCGAAGTTGGTAGACAGTAATTGACGTCAATGTTTATATTATTATTATTTCCTTTAGTTCCTAGAGGAACATAGGGCTTCAGCCATGCGTCTCCATTGCGTTCGATTCTCTGCTAGAGTTTTCACCTGGCTCCAGGTCTGCCCACATGCTTTCATCTCCTCTTCACATGATCTCCTCCAGGTCACCCTTGGACGACCAACTCGTCGCTTCCCTTTCGGGTTCCACTCGAGGGCTTGTCTAGTGATGTCACTTGCTGGTTTCCTCAGAGTGTGGCCAATCCATCTCCATTTTTTCCTGCCTATTTGTTTCACAATGGGTTCCTGGTTGGTTCGCTCCCAGAGATCTTTGTTGCTGATCCTTTCCGGCCATCTGATCTTGAGTATTGAGCGAAGACATCTGTTGATGAAGGTCTGTAGCTTGTTTGAGGTGCTCTTCGTGACACGCCAAGTCTCTGATCTGTATAGTAGTACTGACTTCACATTGGAGTTGAAAATACGGATCCTATTTTTGATGCTGAGTGCTGTTGACCTCCACACAGACTTGAGAGTAATGAAAGCTTGCCTCGCTTTCCCGATCCTTGCTTTGATATCCTCGTCAGTTCCGCCTGTAGTTGAAACAATGCTTCCCAAGTAGGTAAAGGAGGTAGTTTCTTTCAGGTTTTTTCCATTTATGCCTATTGCTGTCTGTTGTTGTTGTTGGTGTTGGCCAGGGATCTTCATCACCTCTGTTTTTTCTATGTTCACCTGGAGTCCTATCTTTGATGCTTCTTCTGCCAACTTGTTACTTTTCACTTGCATATCTTCCAGTTTGTGGGAAATCAGGCATATATCATCGGCGAAGTCCAGATCCTCCAAGTTCTTTGTGTGAGTCCATTTTATGCCTGTTTCCTCATTGCCCGCTGTTTGTCGCATTATCCAGTCTACTGCAATCAGGAAAATCATTGGCGATAGTAGGCAACCCTGTCTTACTCCTGTCTTCACTTCGAAGGATTCCGTGAGCTTCCCGTTGTGGATTACTTGGCATGCAGCGTTGTCATACAACTGTTGGATGAGATGTATAATTGTCGGCGGCACCCCGTAGTAGCGAAGTAGTTGCCAAATCACCTCTCGATCGACGCTGTCGAAGGCCTTTTCAAAGTCGATGAAGTTGAGATAGAGAGGTGACTGCCATTCCAAACTTTGTTCAATGATGATCCGTAGTGTGGCGATTTGATCAATACATGACTTGTTACTCCTGAATCCAGCTTGTTCTGGTCGAAGTTTTTCATCCAAGGCTTGTTTGATCCTTTCCAGGATGATGCGGCTTAGTATTTTGCTTGGGATGGAAAGGAGCATAATTCCGCGCCAGTTCTTGCATTGACTTAAGTCTCCTTTCTTTGGTAGTTTGAATAGGTATCCTTTCTTCCAATCCTCGGGTATTTTGCCTTCTTTCCACACTTTCTCAAGTAGTGGCGTCATCAGGTCTGCTGTTGTCTCTGGGTCGACTTTCAATGCTTCTGCTGGGATTCCATCTGGTCCTGCTGCTTTCCCAGCTTTCAGCATCTTGATTGCCTTCAGGACTTCTGATTTCGTCGGGGGGTTGATGTTCACTGGTAATTCTGCTTCCGTTGTTGGTATTGTTGGGCGCGTTGTAGGTGGCGGTCGGTTTAGTAGTCTTTTGAAGTGTTCAGCCCAGTGTTTCCTTTGCTCCACTTCTTTGGTGATTGACTTTCCATTTTCATCCTTCACTGGCTTAATTTGTGACGAATTTTTGCCTGAAAGGTACCTAGTTGTTTGGTGAAGTGTTGCGAGGTCTCCTTTGCCTGCAGCTTGTTCTGCTTCATTGGCCATGGCTTCATAATACTTTCTTTTGTCTTCTCTGGCACTCTTCTTTACTCCTTTGTTCAGTGTATTGTAGCTTACATTCAACTCCTGTTTCTGTTGCTCGTCGGTGTACTGCAGAATTTTTTGTTTCACCATCCTTCTCTCCTCTATTAGCCTCCAAGTGTCCGTAGTGAGCCACGGTTTGTCCTGTCTCTTCTTTCTGTCCAGAACTTCCATGCAGGTTTCGCTCCATACTGTTTTCAGGTTGTTCCAGTGTTTTTCGACGCTGACCTCTTCACCAGTGTTGATTTGTGTCTCGGCTTTGTCCTTTATACTTGCAGTAAAGATATCCTTTGTATCCTGGTCCTTTAGTTTTTGAGTGTTGAACTTGGCTTGTGGTCTATCTGCAGCTCCTGTTTCTCTGAAAGCCTTTAATTTGAGTTGGATTGTTCCTTGTACGAGGTAGTGGTCTGAGCCAACGTCTGCTCCTCTTCTTGCTTTTGTGTCCAGTAGGCTGCGCCTCCACTTCCTCGAGATTGTGATGAAGTCAATTTGGTTTTTGGTTCGCCCATCTGGTGACACCCATGTAGCCTTGTGAATATCCTTGTGTTTGTATACGCTGCCACCAATCACTAGTTCATTGAAGGCGCAGAAGTCGGCGAAGAGTTCTCCATTTTCATTCATCTCTCCCAGAGCTTCTTTACCCATGATGAGTTCCCTTCCTGTGTTGTCTGGTCCCAGTTTGGCGTTCATGTCTCCCATTAGTATTTTGATGTCACCGGCTGGAGTATTGTCTATTGCTGCCTGCAGTTGTCTGTAGAATTCTTCTTTCTTTTCGAGGTCTGCGTTGTTGGTCGGTGCATAGCATTGTATAATTGACATTTTCCTTCCTTTGGAGTTGAATCTGGCGGTTATTATCCTGGGTGAGATCGCCTCCCATTGTATCAGAGCCTTGGTTGCCGTTGGTGACATCATTATAGCCACGCCCTCGGTGTGTGTGTGGTTGTCTTCTGGGTGACCGGAGTAAATCACTGACTCACCTGTTGACAATTTGGTGAGTCCGTATCCGTTCCATCTGCTTTCGCAGATCCCCAATACTTGTAGTCCGTATCTCCTCATTTTGCTTGCGATCTGGGCAGCTTTGCTAGTCTCGTACATGGTGCGGACATTCCATGTCCCCACACAGACTTTTTCTTTTGACGCAAGGAGACTGTTCACGCTGAAGTTTCTGTAGCAGGTTTGTTTACAGGGTGGGGTTGCTGGCCTCACGCCTGAGTTTAGTCTTTGGGTACCTGAAATAGAAGAAAGGTTAGTGTTGCGTGACCGCAGAGCCCAGAGGACATCTGCTTGAGGCCGGTCACACACGGCCTGGTGTGTCTCAGTAGCGTACTTATCACTTCTGCCCTGTGACACGGCAGCAGAAAGCGCGGTCGTTGTTAATCCGGGCCACGGCCGATCCGGCATGATATTTCTTGGATTCGTTTGGTTCATCGGGTTGGATTGTTGACGACTAAGTCCAGCCCCCACTGATACCGTCGCCAATGTATCAGTAGGTTGTGAGGTTTGACAAATTTGGTTGATGCCCGTTGCTACTATCAACGGAGCTACGCTAGGAACGGTGTGGCGACCCAAGTTATCTCCTACTGATACCGTCGCCACCGTCATATCAGTAGAAGTCCGGTTAAGCTGCCGGTCAGCCTCGGCTTCATTTTCACAGACTCAGATCTTATTTCATAATTATGACACTTTAAGGGACACCACACAAAAAATAAAACTGATAAAATATGATAAAGAATAATCCCGAGCATGAATAGAGAAAGTTGTTAGAAGATTAAGGTTAATGGAAATATTCAAATTTTGAGTAAAATGACTACGAGTCTCCATTTGAAGCAACCCACGACGCACACCTCTCTATCTGAATTAGATTAACGATCAAGTATCAAGATAAACGCACAATAAACCTAAACAACATTAATTCTTAAACAAAACAAATATTAGCACACATTGTAATTGATAATTGTACTTTGTATCACATAGTGAGTTTAAAAAAAAAAAAAAACTTAACAGAGCGATTTACCAAGTGAGATAATTACGAAGAAATTAAGAAAATCAGTTCCATGAACTTTTATTGCTGGCGGCGAACTACACGTCTTATTCTGTACACGACCGATGGTGCTACCTCAACTGAAAGATGAGGTACCTAGACTAGACTAGCTGGCCATTTCAAATTGTATCTACCAATTCAACTGCAACTGTGCTTGTGGAGCGAGTTATATCGGCAGTTGTTGCTCTAGGAACTTGATTTTTCGTGCTCGCTCCCTCGAGAACATCTCCCAGTATGGCTAAGTAAAGGTGTGTAGTGAAAACCATCATCAACAGTTCGATATTGGACCATCGGGTGCAAACCGGCCACAAAGACAGTGTGGAAGAATCCTTCTCTATCATCATCTACCGGGTGCCACATAAATTCCCGAAATCATCATCGAAGCACCGAATGCTCCAAACACCAGAGGCTATTGCAATTCGCCTCAAACAACCAGTGCTCCGTGTTCAAAAGAAGCAAGTCCAGCCAGCTAGCCAGCCACTAATACTGCCCTGACCGGCCTTCAGTGGGTGGAGACTATAAATTCGTGAATTTGTAATATTATCCTTCCTAATTTCTCTGTCTGACATTCAGTTTATTGTTATGTTGATGCTATTGAACTGTAATCCATTGGTATTATTATTATTATTGATTCGATGTTATTTAAACAGCAACATTAATATGGTTAATATCAGTAAAAAGTTTGAGCATTGTGGATTAAATCAAGTAAAGTATAATTATATTTCAATAGTTTACACACAATGATAAGTAGTTTTGTTATTGGTAATATTTCGAGCAAAATAACTGCCCGTGTTCACACCACTGTTGGAGTTGTTTGATTCACACATTTATGATTTGTACTCATATATATAGTTCATTATTTTCGCTCATTCATATTTTTTTTTGTATTTGAGTTGTATTCCACGTTCATTCATGTTTTTGTATCCAGAATTATATTCCAAGTTGTTGATAGTTGTACTGAGTCACCCTTGTTACATGTATCCGGTGTGACTTTAA